ATATATATATATATATATACTTGAAAGGATCCCAGACTAGGAAGCGATTTCTGCAAGATATCATATTTTAGAAGACAGTATACTTGAAAAAACTCAATTATTTTATTTTGTCTCCGTGACAGTCCATGATGTATAATTTCCGGCACATAACCATAGACAAATATTGGGACTATCGAACAGTAGGAAGCTGCCATATGGTTCAGTGAATAGCATTAATGCTTATTTTCGAAGACGCCATCATTCTTAGTTTCGACACATGAAGTCAGCTAAATACTAAATTAGAGTAATCCATTTGATCCCAAATGTCATGTTAGATTGCGTATCAGTTTGAATAATTAAATATTCTTTTAATAAGTTTTTAATAAAATAAACTTTTTTTTTCTCCCAAAGTATCATCGAAAGTAATCTTATTAAAACTAAAATTGTCAAATAAATTTGATCAATTTAAGGATGATAAACAATTTCATATTCTTGGATAATGTTTAAATTAGCCTCAATTTTATAACAATATATTTAATTTGATCGATTATGGGCAGAGACGGATCTACTTAGAGAAGAGTAGGGCACTTTCCCTCACTATCATTTTACATACATATATTTTTATTTAAAAAATATATATTTTAAAAATAAAAAATTAATTCTAATTTTAATAATATATATATATATATATATATATATATATATATATTTAAACTATCAAATGTATAAAATATAAATTTAAAAAAATTGTTAATTTATTTGATATTTGTTAAACTTTTGAAAGAGATTAGTTATTATGTATGATAAAGAGTATTCTTTAATAATAAAATAATTTTTTTAAAAGTTTAATTATAATATTATCTATATATATATATTAATGCTCACATATATAATGTAATATATTAAAAAAAATATTTTTAATAAAATAAAATTTGCAACATGCATGTTTACCTTTTTTGCTTTCTATTTATTGTATATATTGTTTATAAAAAATTAAAATAATAAAGATTGTAAGATTATATACGTTAATTAAAAAAATCAAAATAGAAAATATTATAATATTTATGTTCTATTTATAATTTATTAGAAATATGTCTTAAAATAAATTATCATTTTAAAATTTATATTAGATATTAAAAATATATTTATATCATAAATAAATTAAGCTCAATTTTTATACAATTTAATATTTTTAATTTAATATTTTTATTAATATTAAATTATTATAAAGTAGGTTTAAAGATTGAAATTCTAACTAAACATTTGAAAAATGTCTATGACAGATAAATAAGTCATATTTAGAACATGTATTTTTAAAAAAAGTTAGGTTCAAACCTTATTAAATTATAATATAATCTAATTTGATCTAATTTATTTTCATCATTAATCGTAATCGTAGATATAAAAAAAATAATTATGATATATTTTTATACTTTTAAAAGTTATATGTAAAATTTTTAATATTACAAATATATGAATAAGTATTGCCACCACTATTTAAAATTTCTGGATCCGTCACTGATTATGGATATGGATAATAATCAATTTATTAAATGAGATACGGAAATAGAGATAGGTATATACATACTCATTTATACCCGTATCTGTTTTAAAATTTTAAAAATTTAATTTAATTTTATAAAATATAAATTGACATTTACATGATTCTTACTCTATTTTAAATTTATTTCAAATAAAATTTAATTAATATAATTTTGTTATTATTACTTTATGTTAAAATTCTTTTATATATATTTTTTGCAAAAAAATTATTTAATTAATTTTTGATTGGGTACAAGTATACATAATGCTAGACTAAAATATGGATAGAGATACGAATTTCATACCTAACACATAAGAGGACTAGGATAGATATAAGGTATGAGAACAAGAATGGGACGAGATACTAAAACTCATACTCACCTGGTACCGTTGCTATTCCTAGGTCGGTCTGACCTAACCTAAATTGATACAGGCCAAATATTATTTAATTAGATTAACCTAGTCTATATTTTTTTAAGTTGCCATTTTTTACCGAACCTAGCCATGTCGAGCTATTTGACCAAAATAGTCTAATTAAAAAAATATATATTTAAAAAATTAAATATATGTTTTTATAATAAAAAATTAAAAATTATAACATGATTAATTGATATTATATATTATCATAAAACACTTACTAGTTTTATATGTATATAATTTTTCACAATCATTGTATTTGCATTTATCCATCTCATCAACTAAACCAACAATTTTCATAATAATTCCATACCTTAGTGGTATTGAACTTAGTTTTCTTAATCTTTTCAATATCTTCGTATTTGTCATTAATATTTCTACTCTTACTTTTATTAAGACAAAGGTAGAAGCGTGACTGTTGAGATTTCCGTTGAAGTACTTTTATTATAATTGTAAAACAGTTTAATTCTACCAACGGTCTCAAACACGGCAAGTATACCGGCCGTTCAAGTAGTAAAAATATCGTATCCACAGGGATTAGAAGGTAAAATAAGCATTTATTGATTATTCGTGACTAAAGAATAATTCCAATTTCAGAGTTTGTCATGTGAATTCAAGGTTATGACTATTGGAATGTTAAACTACAAAAATAATTGATTTTGAGTGGAAAAGGATAGGAATGGTGTAATGGTTTTGTGGGATTGTGGGGTCAGATTTCACCGAACGTCTAATGAATCCTTAATCTCTTGTTCCATACATTGCTTAGTCAACCCATAAGTTTACTCAAACCTAATCCCTTAGAGAAAGAGCCTAGGTGCGGATATTGACTATCAATCCCTTGAGTACCCAATATCTACACCCGCATTACGGGCTAGGGTTTAAGACTACTAATGGGTCAAGCTCTATTCCTAAATACAATCACCACTAGGCATATGTTTCAGAACTAGTTTCAATGATATTTCCCAATACTCAATGGAACCTTAAATCATGCAAAGGGTGATCAATCCAAAGCAAGCATTAAGAATAGAAACAAACACAACAATGGATGAAACAACATGTATATATATCATTAAAACGTAAGGATTACATTAGAATTCGTTGGTTACATCTAACCCCATAAAAAATGGGTGGAACCACTCAACAATGAGGGTAAAGCAAAAATAGAGATGGAAGAGAGAAATGAAGAAACCGAAGGAAAGATCCACACACGAACGTTCCCAAGCTCGAAGAATCCCTTCTACCGCTCCAAGGAGGCGCCCCTGCGTGAATGAGGAGAAAACCCTCGAAAATGGCTTCAAATACGAACTTGGGGAGTCAGATTAGGGTTTCGCGCCCGGCGCATAAGTATTTGCGCCCGGCGCAGGGCCTTCCAGTGAAGATCAGCACACTCTACCTCAAAACACGCCCGACACGTTTCCTTTTACGCCCGGCGCAATGTCTTCCAAAGACTTTGAGTCACTCTTTGTCTCGATCACGCCCGGTGCGGGTCATCTTGCGCCCGGCGCAGCCACCGTCTAATGAATCCTTAATCTCTTGTTCCATACATTGCTTAGTCAACCCATAAGTTTACTCAAACCTAATCCCTTAGAGAAAGAGCCTAGGTGCGGATATTGACTATCAATCCCTTGAGTACCCAATATCTACACCCGCATTATGGGTTAGGGTTTAAGACTACTAATGGGTCAAGCTCTATTCCTAAATACAATCACCACTAGGCATATGTTTCAGAACTAGTTTCAATGATATTTCCCAATACTCAATGGAACCTTAAATCATGCAAAGGGTGATCAATCCAAAGCAAGCATTAAGAATAGAAACAAACACAACAATGGATGAAACAACATGTATATATATCATTAAAACGTAAGGATTACATTAGAATTCGTTGGTTACATCTAACCCCATAAAAAATGGGTGGAACCACTCAACAATGAGGGTAAAGCAAAAATAGAGATGGAAGAGAGAAATGAAGAAACCGAAGGAAAGATCCACACACGAACGTTCCCAAGCTCGAAGAATCCCTTCTACCGCTCCAAGGAGGCGCCCCTGCGTGAATGAGGAGAAAACCCTCGAAAATGGCTTCAAATACGAACTTGGGGAGTCAGATTAGGGTTTCGCGCCCGGCGCATAAGTATTTGCGCCCGGCGCAGGGCCTTCCAGTGAAGATCAGCACACTCTACCTCAAAACACGCCCGACACGTTTCCTTTTACGCCCGGCGCAATGTCTTCCAAAGACTTTGAGTCACTCTTTGTCTCGATCACGCCCGGTGCGGGTCATCTTGCGCCCGGCGCAGCCACTCTGCTCTGCTCCTTAGCTCCTTAAATTTCCAATCCAAAGGTTCTTCAATCCTCAATTCTCTAGCTCAATACCTGCACAAAAAATGAGGTGTATTAGGGTATTGTTAGCTAAATTAAGGGTTAGCTAAATCTGCACACAAAATGAATCAAAAGAGAACAATTGTATTGCAATGGTTCAAAGAATGAGTGGAATTGCTTATTAAGTCTTGACCAAAAAGAAGTAAAATTGAGACTTAACAGTGACTATGTCTTCATCATCTTTGACAAATGAAACAAAAACGACAAATTGCGAAATCAAGTCATCAAGGATGCAACAAGAACGACGAAACTCTCATAGTAGTTAATTCTAACTCTAAGATCATAACCACAAGCGTTGAATAAAACACAAAAGCGTGAAGTCTATTATTATTATTATATTTTATTTTATTCTATTTTTAATAGTACATTATAGGTTTACAAATTGGCGATAATTCACATTAATTCACTTATTAATTTAATAGGCCAACTTATAAGCTTGTAGACCAATTTGACCTGGACCCATTTGACTTGTCAAGTTTAGTAGGTTAGGTAAAAAGTGGTTTGATTCAATCTAGGTCATTATTTTTAAGGTTACCCTAACCTTATTTGTGGGCTGAATGGGCTACCTCATTAGTCGAGTCCAAATTGACAACTCTATTTAAAATATGATAAAAAAAATTCTTTGCATTTGATTCAACTATCTTCTTTGAATACAAGTTAAAAGTGTTTTTATTATATCTTCTCTCTAGAAAATAAAGAGATATTTTCACTAGAAAAACTTTCAGAAAAACTTCTAGTTTTTTATCCAAATAAATTTAAAAACTTAAATATTCTTTTAGTCTTCCAAATATTACAATTGTGTAATTTTTTTCCAACTTCAAATTATGCAAATTAAGTGATTAAGTATTTTGTTAACATGTCAAATAATGTAGCATTGACGAATAACAATGATATATGAATGTTTCAATGATATTATGTAATAAGGTGACAAGTAAAAATAAGAGAATAATTTTACAAAATGTTAGAGATTGATTTCAAATTAAAAAATTATCAATGTGGTAGTTGGTGAAGCAAAATATTATCACACTTTTTTAGTTTTAGGCCAAGTTATATATACGTTTTAGATTTATTATCATAAACTTACTTATGATAAATATTATACTTATTTTATAATGTATTTTAGTGTACGAGTCTATGAACAAATACATTAATAAGTCCATAAACAAGTACATTACGAGTGTGTTTGGAAAAAAGGGAAAAATGGAAGATAAAGAAAGAGAAGTGTAAAGAAGTAAATAAAAGTTTTAAAAATGAGATGTATTTGGTATGAGAGAAAAGGATAAAAATGAAAATGAATAAAGTGAATTCTAATGTTAAAAATTTTCCCACTAGTGTGAGAGGAAGTGCATGGCATTGTTGGGGTCACTCATTGTTGTTTGTCATTTCATCATTGTTGTTTGTAGTCGTCGCTCTTTGTGGCTATTTGGGAAAATGTTTTACATATTAAAAGGTAATAAATAATATTTTATAATAATATTTTATATTTAATATTTTAAATAAAATAATTTATAAAAATTCTTATTTATTTATTTTAAAATAATAATAGTAATTGTACCAGATAAGTCATAGACTCTCGAGGACTTATTGGTTCTCAGCCTAGTACCTAGAGAAAGCTACCATGACTATAAGGATCTAGATAATGCTCGTCTAAACCAAACAACACATTTATCTAGGCTGAGGTGTATCCAGTACCAGATATACATTCCTTTACAATCAAGCCTAGTAGAAAATAACATTTAACCATTATGTGACACTAAAAGGTCTTAGATGCAGTTAAATGTCCAAACTAATATAACAATAACATTTTCTCACCAATAACGATAATAAGGATATAGATAATGCTCATCTAGACTAGATAGAGCATTCCTCTAGGTTGAGGAGTACCTGACCTGTCGGATACATTCCTTCATGATCAAGCCTGATAGAAAATAACGTCTGATTGTTATGCAACACTTAGAGGCCTTGAATGTACTTAAATGTCCAGACCAATAACGGTAACATTTTCTCATATATATATATATAGAGAGAGTTAATCACCTATACACTAGCAGTGTAAATTTTTTTTACACTAACAACCAATTAAAAGATATAATTGGTTGTTAGTATAGAAAAACTTTACACTGATAGTATATAGATGATTAACTCATATATATATATATATATATATAGAGAGAGAGAGTTAATCACC